AAGGGAGTGCCAAGGATAGACTTTGGGGACAGGGCGTGGCACCCCATCAGACTTGACCGGAGGACAGTCCTAGAGGTCAACAAACAAACCTTGAACTATTTACAGATTTTTCTTTTTTTTCTTTTTTTTTGCCTTTGTTGTTGTTGTCATCATTTTTGTTCCTTTGGTCGCTTTGTTTTGCTATATCTTGTTTTTTTGTGTATGTTATTAGATCTGAAGGTCTATCTAGATAAGATAGGCTGGATGAACAGCCTGGAGGAGAAAACAACAGGACCGATGGTTCCAGGGGGACATGGGAAAGGGAGAGGTGGGGGAAAGGAGGTGGTGTTGACTAACCCAGGGATGGGGGAACAACAAGTGATCCAAAGATGAGGGCAAAGAGGGTGTAGGAGGCCTGGTAGGTCTTGATCAAGGACACCGTAACCAAGAGAAATCACTGAAATCCACATGAAGGCTGAGCATCATAGTGGGACAAGAGGAAAGTAAAAGGAAATAGAGGAAAGAATTAGGAGGCAAATGGCATTTATAGAGGTCTAAATAAGGCATGTACATACGTAAATATATTTATATATGATGATGGGGAAATAGATTTATGTGCTTATATTTGTAGGTTTAGTATTAAGGTAGCAGATGGACATTGGGCCTCTACTCAAGTACTCCCTCAATGCAAGAACACTTTGTTCTGTTAAACTGGCACTCCATGATGCTCACCTTCCCTAGACAATCACTGAAGACAAATGTGTACATAAGCAAATGTGTTGAAGAAAGCTGATAGTGCCCGGCTATCAAAAGATATAGCGTCTGGGTTCTTAAAGACTTGAAGGTAAACAAGCGGCCATCTAGTTGAGAAGCAACACAGCTGATATGAAGAAGCACACCAGACTGTGATCACGAGGTGTCAAAGGGATCAGGTATCAAGCATCAAAGAGCAAAAAATCCTATCATTGTGAAGGAGGAGGAGTGCAGATTGGGGACCCAAAGCCTATCAGTAGGCAACTGGACATCCCCTTATAGAAGGGTCGCAGGGAGGAGACAAGCCAGTCAGGGTGCAGTGTAGCAATGATGAAACACAACTTTCCTCTAGTTCTTAAATGCTTCCTCCCCCGCCCCCCCACCACCACTATCATGATCCCAATTCTATCTTACAAATCTGGCTAGACCAAAGGATGTACACTGATACAGATAGGAATTGGAAACACAGGGAATCCAGGACAGATAATCCCTTCAGGACCACTGGTGAAAGTGGCGCTACTGTGAGGGTAGAGGGAAGGTGGGGTTGAAAGGGCGAGCCGATTATAAGGATCTACATTTAACCTCCTCCCTAGGGATGGACAACAGAAAAGTGGGTGAAGGGAGACATTAGACCGTGTGAGACATGACAAAATAATAATAATTTATAAATTATCAAGGGTTCATGTAAGTTTTTTAACTTACAAAATAATATTTTTTTAAAAATCAAACACCCACAAAAAGATCTAATGCCAGCTGGTTTGGGAACACCCAGTAGTTTAAAGACAATACTGTTGTTCCATAGGATCCCACCCACACTCCAATCTCTTCCAGATCAGATCACTCACATTTAAAAACGGCCTCTAGTTAAGAAGCAAGGTCACAGGGGAGAGCAGTTGAACTGAAACAAGTTATGCAATTCAGACGACAGGGCATTCATTATTTCAGATATTATGCATTCTTGAAATAGGTACCATTTCCAGTAATTGTGGGCATTTTGTTCTTGTCTTTTTAAAAACTTCACCTAGCTGGAAAATCAGCTGGCTTCTAGTACATGACTTTAGGTAGCTGCTCTGGTGACACTGTGTGGCTGCTTACCACAAGGCTGGCGGTTCAAACCCACCAGCCACTCCATGGAAAACAGTTGCGGTTAGCTCCTCCTGTAAAGATTTATAGCTTGGAAACCTTATTCAGGGCCACTCTGAATTGAAATTGATGCAATAGCAGTGGGTTGATGAGTACATTCTTGGAAACCCTAAGCAGCAGTTAGTTCTACTCTGTCCTGTATGAACACGATGAGTCCGAATTCACTTTAGTGGCAGTGGGTTGGTTTTATATTGTTGGGGTTTTGGGTTTGTTTGTTTTGGCTCACAGAAGGGTCCTGAATCTATATACTCATAGAAAGGCCAGCAAGTGTACTGCCCAGTTCATCTCTGGATGATACCAAAGTCACAGGCTCCTCAGTGATCCCACACCCATTGCGGTCTAGTACAATTCTGGCTTATAGCAACACAATAGGTCAGAGAACTGCCACGGAGGGTTTCCACAGCGGTAATCTTTAGGGAAGCAAGTTGCCATATAGTTTCCTGAAGCAGCGGGTGGTTTCAGACACCTAATCATTCGGCCACATACTTTAACCACTGTGCCACTAGGGCTCCTACCACAGAGTTTTCATGTGAGTTAAATATGGATGGTAGATAGGTATGTGCTGTGTTATTCTGTGTAATGTTTTAACACATTTGAACGACTTCCTGATTTTAAAGGAGTGTGCTCAGTTGCCTATAGGAAGTCTTACACCAAACCAACCTAACCTGACTTCCATAGTCATTAATGACGCATAGTGACCCTGCAGGGCAGAGTAGAACTGGCTCCGTTTATTTTTGAGACTTTAAGGGAGCAGAGAGCCTCAACTTTCTCTGGTAGAGAGGCTGGTGGCCCACTATGTAATCCTAATCCGCCAAGCCTGGAAGTCTTACGCATCTCCCAAACCCACAGCTACCGGTCAGTTCTAACTTTTAGGGATCCGACAGCCCAGAGTAGAATTGTTCTTTAGGTGTTTCCAAGGCTGTAAACCTGAACGGAAGACAGTTGTCACATCTTTCTCTCAGGGAGTGACTGGTAGACTCAAATCTTCATCCTATCAATTAGCAGCCAAGTCATCACCAGGGCTCCTATACAAACCTAGACATCTGTTAAAATTCATACTAAAAACGGAAAACCACAACAGTCCATTTTATGCACAATAAAAATAATAACAAAGAAGTTAATGGAATGATAAATAGGAATAAGAAGGAGGTCTAATAAAAGTAACAATTTAGTTATATTTTAACATGACTTAAATTACTACTGTTCATTACTTCAGCAAAGCAGTGCTATAGAAATGTTACAGATGAGTTGAGTGGTTTAAAAAGAATGCATATATATAATCTATTAGGGTTGAGACTTCTAAGAAGTTCAACATTGTGCAAGCATAGTGAAAGTATCATAAAATAAGAGCTCTAGAATCCTGTTCTATTTTTTGAGACCTTTCTTATGAAAGCACCATATGTGGTATAAAATTTGATATAATAATTTATAATTATCCTTTACAATAATTATTTCATCATCTCAAAATTTAAAAAAGAATTATTTCACTACTAAAGAGGGAAATCATATTCCAAAGAAAATGTGATATAAATTTGTTGGAGCGAATATTCACCCAGATATAGAAGCATGAGTTGTAATCACAATTAAGTAACATAATGTTTATGAAAGAACTTTATAAAATAAATTGCTATGTAAAAGTAAACTGCTGCCTCCCAAGAACATTGAACGAAGGTCATAGAAATCGTCCACTGATGACATCATTAAAGTTTTTCATCAAGTATTAAACAGAAGATCTCAAAATCTCACCAGTTGCAATTCTTAAAAAAAAATGGATATAAACAATATAACAGTATTTTTTACCACCCAAAAGAAATGGTCATTTTAATTTTTATAAAGTTGGGCTTAAGAAAAATTCTAGGGTTTGTGCTGTCAAAATATAATTTTTAAGCACTAAGAGCAGATGTGTCATTTGCCATAATCTTTTATCAAATGATTAGCTATCCATGGGCCTAAGTAAGACTTTTAAATGCACTAGCTGTGTGAATTTATAAACTATCTATAAAAGACAAACAACATTTTTACAGTTCTCTATTTTCTTTATTCCACACCAAAAACAAAAGTGCTGGCAGGAAGCTGTACCGCTTTGAGGAGGTGGAAGGAATTGTAAGAAACAGCCTGAAAGCAGCCCATGTTCTAGAGCAGTGGTTCTCCCCCTTCCTAAAGCCACGACCCTTTCATGCAGTGCCTCATGTGGTGGTGACCCCCCCAATCATACAGTTATTTTCATTGCTACTTCATAACTGTAATTTTGCTACTGTTATGAATCAGGCGACCCCTGTGAAAGGGTCATTCAACCCCCAAAGAGAAGACCAAATCGGATCAGAAACAGCCCCTGCATCATTCCTGTAGAAGAATTTCAGATGGGTCCCTCAGGAACAAGGTTCTTGTAACAGAGCGGAAAATGGTCTCTCTCACAGAGACTGATGATGTATCCCATTTCTTAGTCCAGAAGGGAAACCACAGAAGGACTAGTCTTAAGGTTCAGCGAAGCCTCTGGAAGGATGAATGATACACCAAAACCTTACCAAAATGAGTCAATACTATTATTACTAAAACAATAACAGCAGCAGCAAAACACCAAACAAACAAATAAACAAAAACCACCCCAAATGAGAACCAATTGCTTCTGAGTTGATCCTGATTCATGGCAAGCCCAGGTGTTGGAGAGAAGAGCTTGGGTGCATAAGACCGGTCTCTCAAGGCTGGGACCTTTGATAGCAGCAGATTGTTAGGTCTTTCTCGGCAAAGCAACACAGGCCAAGTTCTCACTGCCGATCTTCTGATAAAGAATCAAGCATGTGTACCTGTCTGCAACACCCAAGACTTCCATTATTACCATAAGAGAAGCCACATAACTGAAATATAAACCTGCGCACATGGCTTTGGGGAATACCAGAGAGGATAATTGCATTACCTCACCTACCAAATTAGGTCTGAAAGCACAGACCATTTGAACGAATCCAGTACACGGACAGGGAGCAGTGCTTTGGCATCAATTAGATTTGGCCTTGATTCCCAGCTATACCATTCACAAAGTGTGTTACTTGGGCAAGTTATTAAACCAGGTAGAAATCCCAGTTCTTATTTGTAAAATGGAGCAGAAAATCCCCACTTCGCTGCATACTTAATAGGAGTGATAACCAGTTCAGTACTCTTTCTGTGACCCACAGGCCTAATTGTATAAATATCACCAAGCCATTTCATCTTTATGAATCTTAATTTATCTCTAAATGACATTATATTAACATATTGTTGATTAATTTTTTTAAGTTTTGTTTTTAGTTATTGACAAGAATATGGCCTGCAGTACTTTAAAAAAAATTAATGCGACCTGCATTCGAAAGTGGCCTCGGACTGCCCGTGTCCTGGTCATCAACGATGCAGGGAGAGCGATTGCGGACAGCCGTTTCCCGTGTTTGGAGGGTTCGGCGTACCTGTCCCTGCAAATGCCGGTGTTTTCACGCAGTTCTACTTCTCTCCTGCCGGCACCGGGGGCATCGGGAGCCGAGAAGAATTCTGTGGTGACGGCGGAAGCCTTTCCAAGAGAAAGCTTCTTGGAGCACCGCTCCCTGAGCAGTGGATCATTGAAGCAGACCCCACGGAGACAGAAACATGGACAACGGACGCTCTCCGGGTTATTTGGAGTTGATCTCCGGCACTGGAACAAGCAAGTGTGGAGAGTGGGATTGTTGCCACCGTGCAGCATCACGAGACCCTTACCCCGTCACCTCAGCCCAACATGGGACACCTGTCCGCTCTGCAGGAGAGGGGTGAGAGGAAGGCCTGAGAGCCCAGAATTGGCGCGTCTTCAGTGGCCCTTTCAAAGCAGGGCCACAGGCCCCTGCCCTGGGAAATGGAGGCTGGGGAGTCCTGCCAGTAGCCAACCGTATCATCTCCCTACTTAGACCTGCATCACTTTTTTTGTTTGGTATGTGATCAAATGTAAAATAAACTACCAGTTTCGAAAAAAAAAAAAAAATTAATGCACAATAGTTGAAAGTAGGTTTACATCATTATTCATTTATAAATAAAGAAATTCAGACTTATAAGGAATAAATGACTTGTCGATTTATTCTTTGGGTTTTCCATAATACAAGGATTAGTAATACTGTCAGACTTCTCCCTGTGAAATGAAACTCGTCCTACTACTTAACTCTCCATAAACAGACACCGCGACTGGATGTGCTTGCTCAATGTATGCATTCATATGGTTTGTAACAGCTCAACAGGTAAAACAAACACATACTTATTTCAAATATTAGATTTTCTAGAACTAAGGCTTGTCACTTGTTACCTTTGCTACATAAAAGCATTCTTTTAAATTTGATGATTAAAAAAAATCAAAAGGCTAAATTCTTTTATGATCCAAAATATACCAACTTCCTCCAGAGAAAATTTAAAATCCTGGGAGAAAACTTCTAAAATTCAACTGGCTGGTCCCATGTGCTACTAGGATAATATATTTCCCTCTCCAGCTAGCTAATCAAACTTCCATACCCCAAAATGGAAACACTTCCATTTTTGGAAACATTTCCATTTCTTCAGAAGGACAGCTGGCGGCATAGATTATTACACTACGGGGAAAGTAAAGAAACATGGTAAAAAAATAAATAAGAACAAAAAATAGGAGTCAATGAGTTCGTGGCAAATCAATGTACTCACCCAAGAGCAACCATGGCTTAAGAACACCAACTTGCAGGTCCAAGCTATGGTCCTGCACATAACCACAACCACCCCCACTGCTTGGCTCTGTTTCTTCCAAAACATGGATTCTGGCATCTTTCCACGATTCTATAATTTTCTTTCCAGTTAGTGTTGTCACCCTGGTGCATTGCTTCCTGAGATTATTCCGGGAGAATGCTTTAATTTCCTGGTTAAGGGAGTGCATTACATGAGCAGGAACCAATGCAAGTCAAGAGACAGGCTGACCTGCTTGTCCCTATTGCTCCGGAAACAAATGCCCCCTTAGAAGGGTTCCCTCCTCCAGGTCCCACAGCGGCCAGGTGCCAGGAGGGAGAAATGCCCGGCTTAGTTGCCCCCGTGCGTCGATGGAAGCTGGCGTGTGATTGGCCGATGAGAAACGGGCGCTGATTGGGTGCAGTTTCATCTTTCGGTCTGTCCAAAACCTGCGTCATCCCTACAGATTCCAGGCATATGCCAACGACTTTTCTTATCCTTCCTGTTTTAATCTAGCTTTATTATACAAACGGAGTTAGACTTCGTTGGAGCGAGAGCTGAGATTCTTCGCTGTTTCATTAAAAGCAGTGGTTTCGAGTGACGTCACTAGCAGGCGTGACGGTGGACGGCCCTGGTTGGCGGCGCAGTCTCGTTGCAAACCTCCCTCCTTGGCGGAGCCTTTCTTGCCGCCTGCTTTTAGAGGGATGAAGACTAACGTGACTCTGAAGGAGTGGTGGGGATGAGGTCAGAGAAGTGATAGGGACTGTGATGTTATTCTGAGCGAGATGGGAAGCCACTGGGATGACGTCGTAGACCCCACCTCCCGCCGTGAGGAGTGCTGCCCAGTGCACCCTGGCCTGCTTGCTGTCTCTACTGCTCAGAGTATTGACCACTATCTATCAATCCTGAAAGGATTGCTTCAGAGATGGCTCCTCTGAAATTATGCAGAAGTTCAATGTTGCTTCTCCTTCCTTTCCTGTGCCCTTCACACTTTCTCTTTCTGCCATGAATGCCAGGGGAACTGCCTAGGTAAATGGTTGTGTGTGTATGTTTAAATAAAAGCCGAAAAAGAAACCGATTTCTTCATTTTAATTACTTAAAATTATGTTTCTGTATGCAGACTGACAAGAACTTAAACTTTACAGACTCTCCAAGTTCTGCTCCATTTTCAGCATCTTGATAGCTGCTGAAGAGGCTTTTCTGCAGTAAACATTCACCCTGTTCATAAGAAGCACTGCACCAAGTCTTTCCTTACAGGGACTTGGAGAAAATCCAGGGCACATTCAAGTTTACGCGACAGATAAGTTATATAATCTGGTTACAAAGGAAGTCTCTGTTTTGCAAAGGAGATAACAATATTCCTTTGAGTAGTAATGCTTCTTAGCTCTCTTAACGTGTAATTTTAAATGAATTTGACATGATGTATAAATACATAGACTGTGAGGAAATTCTATTTATAAAAACATATTCTCCAACACTACATTAACATTGTGGTTGTTGTTGAAATTGTGGAGCTAAACCTTTTCTCCCAGTTGGAAGAAGAGTGAAATTTCAGCCCAGGCCATCTACAGAACTATAGTGTAATTATTTAATACGGCTCTTCTTGCCATAGCCTCCATTTTGTGATGCATTGTAAATTCTAGCCTCTTAAATCTGTGATTATAACCCCGTTTTGGAGTGAGTTATCTGTTTTCTAACAAGGCAGGAGTAATGTGGGATATAAATTGAGTCCCCACTAGAGGTGTGAAACTCAAATTATTACCCTCTGCTTGCTTTGGAATGTGGTCTGCAGACTGGTCATTATCTTTGGCACAAAGGGATAAGTGTTGTCAAACCATAAAGTCCCCAGATCAAACCCACCAATCGCTCCATCGGTTTACCATCAGGGTATATGCACCTGTACAGATTGACAGTCTCAGATACCCAATCTAGGGTCACACTGAGTTGGAATAGATTACACAGCAGTGAGTTTGGTTTTCGTTTTTGCTTGATATCATGTTAAAACATGAGCTGACTTCTGGTTTTGAGATGGTCCCTTAATAGGCAAACCACCAGCAGCCTGCTCAACAGAAAAGCAAGAAGCTGGGATCACAGATGAGCTAAAACTAGACCCTGCCCACCTAGATGAGCAGAAGTAATGTTCTCCTACACTAAATGTTTAATATCCGAGGGCAAAAACTACCCTTTGTCAAAGCCTTGGAGCTGGACAAGACCCTATCTTTGTGACCACATTCTGTCTGCCTCACTTTCTGACTGAGCAGGTACCGAAGACTAGTGACAAGTCACTGGTGATTAACACCAATCAACACTACTTACTGCCCTAATGAAACCTCTAGCCCTGGACTCAGGAAGTCAAGCGAGCAATTTTGAAAAAGTCCATTCTCTTGCTCTGGTCCTGCTTCTGGCTTTCCTCTGCCAGAACTCTAGCTCTTGGCACTTGAACCAACAACCTACTCTCTGGCCTGTTCACCATCTTCCCTAGCCTTATGAGTCAACAGCCCATTTGGTAAAAATGAAGAGAATCATCTAGACAGACATCTGGGACTTGTCCTCATCCACAACCACCTGAGCCATTTCTTTGATGGTTAGTGAGTTCTGTGAGGTGTTGAAGCAAGTTGTGGAACCCTGGGACATGAAATAGAACACTGAGGAGAGGAGTGGTTGTTAATATGAGGGTCTTGGGACATCTTCCACTTTGACCTCATTGCAACCAGCTTGGTAAAAATCCTAAAAATTTTATTTTATAGGGACACTCTAAAACAAAGAACTTATACAACCATAAGTTCATAAAAAACAATGCTAACACTGAATCAATCAATTAAGCATAACAATTGATCAAAACAACGACCAAAAATAACTGCCAATTATTGAGCACTTATTACCTGCTTGGTACTGGGTTTATCAGCAATGTTTAGATTCTTAGTGGCCAGGTGCGTACAGTTGCTTTACACATTTGCCCCATTTGATCTTACCATAAGCTTAAGATGTGGATGGAATTAGAATTGCCTACAGTTTGTGTACAACTGAAGACACCCAAATGCAGAGCAGTCAAATAATTTCTGGTAAGTCTAGAACCACTAACAAAATGTAGGTTTGTTTCAGTCCAAAGTTTAGTCTTTAATGTCTATGGCATATGTGTTAGTCCAGGTAGACTAGAGAAACAAATTCATAGACACTTCTATGTGTGTAAGAAAGAGTTTTAAACAAAGGTGATTGTACATCAAGAAAACATTCCAGCCAGATCAAGTCCATAAGTCTGATATTAGCCCATATGTCCGATACCAATCTATAAAGTCCTCTTCTGACTTACGAAACACATGCAATCACACAAAGCAGGCAGATCACAAGCCAGTGGGTGGGAAGTCTTGTAAATCTGTGGCGTTGTAAGCATCTCAGTGCTGGCAGGGGTCTCCACTCGGCTTCTCTAGCACCAAGGGCTGCTTCAGGGGACGTCCATGTGGCTTCTCCAGCTTAAGGCACTAGCGTAGTTCTATGTGTCTTGTCAGGTGCAATGTCTCCCAGGGAGTCAGCAGAGAGAGAAATGTCTCCCGCCTCCAAGGAGGAAAATCCAGATTTCCCAGAATTCTTGGGAGAAAGCCATGCCCACACAGAGGCCTCCTTGGCTATGATCTGATTGACAGACTAGACTCCACTCCTTCACTCTTAATCTTCTCAAGTCCCAAATTGACACCAGATTATGTAACTACCACAGTATTCTGCTCCGCCCTCAAAATATGAGTAGTTAGCATGTATTTATTGAACACCTACTATGTGTCAGGTACTGTTAGGGCACAGGGGATAAATTAGTGAAGAAAAACAAAGTCCTTACATTCATAGAGCTTATGTACAAGTTGGAGCCCTGGTGATGCAGAAATTAAGCATTTGACTGCTAACTGAAAGGTCAGTGGTTCAAATCCACCACCCCATTCCACAGGAGAAAGATGTAGTGTTTTGCTTCCATTATGATTGACAGCTGTGGAAACCCTATGAGGGTAATTATCTGTCATAGGGTCATTATGATTCAACTCAATTCAACAGCAACAAGTTTGGCTTTTGGTTTTATACCCAAGTTGGATGAGATGGGTGTCAGACAAGGATTAAGTGCTGGTAAATGCGTGTTCATGTAGATCATAATAAGTACTCAATATAAATGAATAAAGTAAGGGAACAGAGTGAAAGAATAGTGTTCTATTTGCAATAGATTGACGAGAGAAGGCCACTCTAATAAGTGTAATTTGTGCAGAGACTTGAATCAACCCTGGTGGTAGGGATTCCTAGGCGGAAGGAACAGAAATTGTTGATCAGAGTTTACTTATCTTGATGAGAAGTGGGGCTGTCCAAGGAGCAGCAGGGTGACTAATGTGACTGAGGGATAGAAGATTAGGACAAAGATGAACTGATATGGGTTTTAGGATGTTATTCTGAGCAAGATGGCAAGCCACTGGAATGATGTGGTGGTCCCTGTGATGTTTGTTGCCCAGTTCATCCGTCAATGCATGCCTGATATCTCCCCTACTGCAAGTGTTGTCAGCTCTCTGTAGCTGAGGCAGCCCATGAATGAATTGATACCTGCCACCTGACAACACTTTCAGAAAGGGGGACGTTAGACATGCCTGAAATAACACTCTTTAGGGGATAGCCCACTCCCTTGATTGTCCATGTGGGAGCATAAATGTCTAGCCATCTTAACACAACACAGGACAGTTCTGAAGGGTCATTGTATCATGAGAGCCCAACATAGGGTTGACTGATCCTGTCATAGGACCTGCATAACAGCTTAGTTTTTCCACTTGCCCAATCCGGCTTCTTTGCCTTCTCTTCAATAAATGTTGATCCAGAGGGTGTTCTTTTTTTTTTTTTTAATAAAAATGTAATGTGTTTTCAGTCAAGGTTTACACAGCCAATTAGGTTTTCATTGAACCATTTCTATACAACTTGTTCAATGACACTGGTTACACTTTTTTTCAAAAGAAAAGAGAAAATAATAAATCAAAATATAGGATAAATTAGGAGTGGGTTTAAAGGGAAAACAAATAAGATGTTAAATTTTAACCTAACTACAGCTGCAATAATTCACTTTCTGATGCACTCTGCTTGTGGCCAGGGCTTTTCCCATGGCTGTGTGGTAGTTACATAATATGGTGTCAATTTGGGACTTGAGAGGATTAGGAGTGAAGGCATGGAGTCTAGTCTGTCAATAAGGTCCTAGCCAATGGGTCCTCTCTGCGGGCATGCCATCTGCTGAGAATTCTGGAAACTCCTGTATTTTCCTTCTTGGAGGTGGGAGACACTTTTCTCTCTCAGCTCACTCCCTTGGAGATGCT